CGCCGCCGCCGCCCCGTCCCCGCCGAACTGCTCCTCCGACATAGTGCTTACTGCCTCCGCCGCCGCCGAGACTACACCCGCCGCTGCCGCGAACCGAAACTAGCAGCAAAGTAAACCCCGCCGCTGCCGCGCGCCCGCTCTACCGCGCGAGGCACACAACAAGACAGAGAAGGCGCGCGCGGCTGCAAAGGCTCCTGCGCCTCTCCCTGGCCTGCCCCCCTCGCCTCCCACACTCGCGCAGCGCGCACTCCCGCTCTCTCTAGCTGCACTAAAAAAGAATAAGCAGCAGCGGCGGCCGCTCTTGCCTCCTCCTCGCTTTAATGGCGCCGCCGCGGACCACCTAAAATGGCCGACGGAAGAACGGCGCGTCCCGGTCACGTGACGCGAGAGCGCGCCCTTTGCGCCTCCCCGCCCCCTCTACCGCTAGCTTTTTTTCCTCTTCCTTTTCGGTCCCGCCCTCTCGTTCCCTTTTATACCTTCCCCTCACGCGCCGCGCCGCACAGCTTGGGGCCTTTAAAAGGAACCGGAAGTTGCGTTCCATAAGACCGCCGCGCGGGGACCATCGAGAACAAGGAACGCTGTTTCGAAGACGCAGCTAGAGGGGCCCGCTCCCTCGCCCCCGCCCTTGCAAGGGTTCCTGGAGTCGGCCCACCCACCCCCCCAGCTGCGAGCCGGAGTCGCGGCGTCGGGGTGGGGTGTGGCAGCACTTCCCTGTAGGCGACTGTGCCCCGAGCGCCTGTGGCGTAGGGGTGGGTGGGAGGGGAGGCGCACACCCGGCGGCTCCTGTCTCGTAGTGCCTAGCTGGAGGAAGGAGGCTACCTTGAGCTGGTGGCCCCGTGACTCTGGCTCTGTCCACCGCGGCACCTGGAGACGCTCGCCGTGCGCCAAGCGGCGGGTGTGCACGGACTGCCGCAGCTCCTCCGCCAGCGGTAGTTGCCCGCGACCGGGTGACATTGAGGTTTCCCCGGCTGCCGCCGCTGAGCTTCCCGACCTCAGGCGGGCCGGCTGAAGCCGCTGAGGATTAGGGCTCCTTTTTCTTTTAAGTTTACTTTACAAGTAAGATTTTTGCTTGCCTGTTTTTCTCCTGAAATTTTTCGTCAAAAGAAGCAGGTAACTGGCATATTTCAAAGATCAGGGATTGTTTTGCTCGATTTATTTGAAGATCCTAAAAGCTCAATTCTTTGAAAAATACGGAATTAGGAAGTGTGTGAGGTCAACCAGCGGTTCATTTCATTTAATGTTTTTTTAGTCCTTATACTAATTAGAATATATAAATGCTGTGAGTCTTTACAAGGTTTCTGAGCTTCTTGTCTTGTGAGATCTGGTTTTTAAAAGAACCGCTAAGCGTTTCTTGCAGGATAACAGTAAAGTTCTTTAATAGACCTATTAAAAATCCCAGATGTGGTGGCTGGAAACTAGCTTATTTGGGCTTTCAGATTTGCAGCTTCCTCGATACAACTAGAAGAAAATTAAGTTTTTAGGTACTTCTTTAGTCAACAGTAATTATTTGCCGATTTCGTATGTGCCCAGGCTCTGGAGAGACAGAGTAGTGTAAAATACAGTAAAGAACTCTGAAAACATAAGTATTTTTTCCACTATGTAATTAAATAAATGTGTATTAATTGGACACTACCCAAAAATCTCAAGATGTTTAAAAATACCTATTTTTTGTTATTAAGCTAGCCGAATTTACAGAATAATTAAAATTCAAAAATACAGATGAAATTCTGAAAATGTCTTAAAAATACAATCTTGGGGTGCTTGGGTGGTTCAGCTGGTTGAGCTTCTGACTCTTGGTTTCAGCTCAGGTAATGAGCACAAGGTTGGTAGGATTGAGCCCTGGGTGAGGCTCTGCACTCACAGCAGGGAACTGGCTTAAGAGTTTCTCTTCTCTCTCTCCCTCCTTCCCTCCCCCTCACATGCACACTCTCTCCTCTCTCTCTCTCTCTCTGAAAATAAATAAGCTATATACTCCTATATTCTCTTTTTGTTGTTGTTGTTTTAATGTTTATTCATTTTTGAGACCCCGCATGAGCAGGGGTAGTGGCAGAGAGAGAGGAATTCACAGAATCGGAAGCAGGCTCCAGGCTCCAAGCTGTCAGCACAGAGCCCACCACAGGGCTCGAACTGGAACTCACGTACCTCAAGATCATGACCTGAGCCAAAGTCTGAGGCTTAACTGACTGAGCCACCCAGGCACCCCTATATTTTATTTATATATATACGTAACTGTATTAAGCAAATCATACACAGGCGATATAAAGAACGTATCTTAGATCAAGTGGTAGTGACTTCAGGTATGTCTCCACTTGTCAAAATAATAATAGCCTAGGAGAAAGTGGGTATTGAGCTCAAACCAAATACTTAAATTTAGAGACAACTAGGAGGTCTCTGGATATTTTCTGTCTTCAAGAGTATTTTGATTTTTTTTTTTGTTTGTTTGTTTTTTTAGAAATAGCTCAAGCAAGGGAGAGGGGCAGAGGGAGAGAAAAATCTCAAGCAGGCCCCATGCTCAGCATGGAGCCTGATGGAGGGCTCAATCTCAAGACCCTGGGACCTGAGCTGGGATCAAGAGTTGGATGCTCAACTGACTGGGCCACCCAGGCACCCCAGAAGATTCTTTGGCTTTTTTTTTTTCCTCAACTTTTTTTATTTATTTTTGGGACAGAGAGAGACAGAGCATGAACGGGGGAGGGGCAGAGAGAAGGAGACACAGAATCGGAAACAGGCTCCAGGCTCCGAGCCATCAGCCCAGAGCCCGACGTGGGGCTCACTCCGTGACAGCAGATAATTGACCTGGCTGAAGTGGAGGCCAGCTTAACGCTAACCACGGCTGATTCTTTGGCTTTTAAGACAGCTTTAGACATGCCCACCTTTTAGTAATAAGACTTTTCCAAAAAGGTTCATTTTAATTCACAAGTAGTCCAGTAGCTTCTGGACTTCCTGGAAATTGTATTGAAAATTCCAGAAAACCTAGGAGTGATTTTAAAGCTAATACCTTTACCATATGCTATGTAAGTCTGGATAATGCCATATCAGTTATGTCCCTACTTACTATGGCCCAGATCTCTCTATTCTGTGCTCCTTCATTCACCTACATTCCTCTTAGAACTCATTTTACTTCATCCTTTGTTCTTTTCACGTTCTTCATCTGCCTAGTAAACTTCTATTCCTATTTTTAAAACCCAGTCAAATGTTACTACTTCTGTGAAACCTTCCCAGACTCCCTGAGGCAGATTTAATCAGCCAGTCCCACAGCCTTTTAGCCTTACTTAAGGTCTTCTAAATATGCAATTGTACTAGACCATGAGTTCCACGAGAGCAAAGATAATGTGTTTGGTGTATCCTCCCTACCTACACATACACACACACACACATAACAGACTCAGTTGCTAGTAGAATTACTGAATGACAAAATACTGGATTATTTCCAACTAGCTAGGTTCAGAGCCTCTTAGGCAAACTAAGTGTGCTTGCAGTGACTTAAAAGTCTTCTCTGCCCACCATCCCACTTCATCTCAGGCATAAAACCACTTGCTGATGCATGAAATTCCTTAAAAAGGAAAAATACAAACTCACTCCACAACACAAGAATGTAGTGTTTAAGAAGCTAAAGACTGTAGGGGTGCTTGGGTTGCTCAGTTGGCTAAGCGTACAACTCTATTTTTTTTTATGTTTGTTTATTTTTGAGAGAGTGCACGCTTGCAAGCAGAGGAGGGGTAGAAAGAAAGGGAGACCAAAGATCCGAAGAAGGCTCTACACTGAGAGCGGAGAGCCCGATGTGGGGTTTAAACTGTGAGATCATGGGGTGCCTGGGTGGCTCGGTTGGGCATCTGACTTCAGCTCAGATCATGATCTCATGGTTTGTGAGTTCAAGCCCCACATCAGGCTCTGTGCTGACAGCTCAGAGCCTACTTGAGATTCTCTCTCTCTCTCTCTCTCTCTCTCTCTCTCTCTCTCTCTCTCTCTCCCCATCCCCATCTTATTCTCTTTCTGTCTCTCAAAATAAATAAATAAAACCGGAATCACTTTTATCCAGAACAAGATACACATAGAAGAGTCACAGTTTTAATCTGCTAAATACAAATGGCGTGAGCAAATCCTATGCTCATATTTTTATTTTAAGTGGAACATGCATTCCATTTAGCAACCTAGAATAAACTGTCCAGAAAAAAAACAGGAAGAAACCATTTCCTAAACAAGGTACACGTACTTAAGCCTCTTTACAACCATGTTAAACATTTACTCACTTGCAGAACATCCTCAGTAAGATTCAAGCATTTGGTTGAAGAATTATCTTGTGATTTTAGGTGAAGTAACCAATTGCCCAAACTGAACATTCTCATTTATCATCAGTCCTGGTTGTCAGGAAGCTCTCCCTTCACTTAGAGAAAATAGAGGCTCCACCACTGTGAATTTTCAGATTTTCAGCAAATCGGTTGTGGGATCTTGAGTTATGCTTAACCACAGAAGGGTCAATAGGGTGCCCTCAGACTCAACTGGAAAAAACCTAGATCAAAAAGGATTCAAACAATAAGGAAATTTAACCATCTCACTCCAGGTCTACATATTCAGCTGCCTACATAATGTCTCCACTGGGATATTCCACAGGTATCTCAAGCTTTAGATGTCCAAAACTGAACTCCACCTTCCCTACAAATCAGCTTCTTTAGTCTTCGTCTTCTCGTTAAATGACATCTCCACCCACCTCTGTGCTCCTGGCAAATATCAGGGAGTCATTGGTATCACCCAAACCACTCACATCCAATCAATTAACCAACTCCTACTTCCAAAATATGTCTTGATTCATCTAAATGCTTCTTAGAACATAAATAGCGGAGAGGCGCCTGGGTGGCTCAGTCGTTTGAACGTCCAACTCTTGATTTTGGGTTAGGTCTTGATCTTACAGTTTGTGAAATCGAGCCCCATAACTGCCTCTGTACTGACAACGTGGAGCCTGCTTGGAACTCTCTCTTGTGCACTCTCCCTGTCCCTCCCCTGCTTGCTCTCTCTGTCTCTCTCTCTCTATGAATAAACTATGAATAAATAAACATTAAAGAAAACATAAATAGTGATGTTATTCCTAGTTTTATTCACATTCAACCATGCAACACATGAAACAGTTACATTTCTGGTGCTGAGAATATAACTGACCAAAACAGCAAAGACTTTGATCTCACGGAGCTGACATTCTAGTAGGAGAAAGAAACAACAGACTAATATACAATAGGTAGTGATTGGAAGGAAGATAATGAGTAAGGTGCCAGAGATAGAGTTATGTACTATTTCAGGTAGGTTACTCTGAGAAGACTTAAAGGAGGTAAGTTTTGAGTAGAACTCTCAAGTAAAAGAGAAAGCCATAAACATAGGAAAGACTGTACAAGGCAAAGACAGGAGTGTGCTTGACACTTTCAATGAATGATAGAGGCCAGTGTAGCTGAATAGAGTGAAGGAGAGAAGGTGTAATAGATCATACCTACAAAGTATCCAGGAACAAGGTTACCCAGGGCCTTGTAAGCTGCGGTTAGTATTTTGCTTTTATTTTAAATGTGACAAGAAACTA